AAAGTCTGGAGAGAACAAAATTTGAGTCTGGATTTGAATGCACTCGGATCAGCGATATCCCTGGGGATAGAATTCCAGAGCTTTGGGGTGCAGCAGAAAAAGGCACCTGTCACCCCTAGAGTGTAGGCGAATTTGGGGGAGAAACAGGAGACCATGATCAGACGAACAATGGGTGCAAGGTGGGGGTAGGAAGGTAATGAGACAGGTACTGAGGTGCCTAGCCATGCAGAGCTTTATAGGTGAGCATAAGGATTTTGAAATCAACACAAAACCTACAATACTACTCGAACAACAAAAATATCTGCTCACTGTTTAAACATGGCATTATATGCCCATTGAGCTATGGATTTACACCGAGACTGTTTTTTTCTTATTGTGCATCAGTCTATACATAATAAAACATACACTATTAAAGAAATGAAAGGTCTGTAAAGTCACATTATTACTTGAGACATTGATGTGCACATGGTCAATGTGATTTACTAGCATATTAGAAGTAAATAAGACATTTTTGAAAGTGACGAAAGGCAATGATGCAGGGTTGCAGGTTTTTTAATCCTATTTAAACCAAAAATTAAAATTTAACAGAAAAAATGCAGATTTAGAGATGTCACAGCCCTACCGCAGAGACTCCAATCTTGCAGAATTTCACATCCTCTGGTCTTCATTTCAGCTGAGCTTAATTAGCTGTTTGAAGCCATAATTCAGCTAAATTGCTTGATTGCAGTATTTTTTAAGTTCTAATGGCTTTTCTACCCATAAGATTGGATTTTATTTTTTTAATAAAATGCAACAATTTAAAGTCCAGCGTTTAATAGATAAGAAAAGGTCTAAATGTTTCAAATGAGTTCTATTATTAATTATTATTCAATTGAATTAACCTTAATGGGCCCCTATGGAAATGTGTCTTGGATATCAAGAGCTAATAAACATATAACACAAAAAAACAATAATACAAATACAGCTACAGTACAATACCATGATACAAAACAACGTTTGACAACATCGCTCAATCAGAACTCTTCCTGTATCATGAGATTAGAAAAAAAACAGACCGCTTGTAAAGAGTCTAAAAACAACAATAACATTAAGATCCCCTTCCTGTAGGCAATATATTGATTGTTCAGCTATTGAATGCTTTTATGTATAAAGAAAGTAAGTTCTCTTTGTCTTCACACAGGAGATCTGGACCTCCAGAGGGTAGGAGAGTATATTCTAAAAAGAGTGGATGATTGGTATCATTAAGGGTTCGGCTCAGACCTGGGCTGGAACGACATCCAGCACGTGTGTGGGCCTCCAGGACCGGGGCTGGGAACCCCAGCTCTAGTGCCTCTCCTCACTTCCCGTCTCTCACTTCCCCTTTCCAGGAGCACGGGATGGAGGGCTTACTCCATTACATCAACCCCGCCCATGCCATCTCGCTGCTGAGCCACCTCAACGAGCAGCGCCTGAAAGGGCACCTCTGCGACGTCGTCCTGATCGTGGGGGACCAGAAGTTCCGGGCGCACAAGAGCGTCCTGGCCGCGAGCAGTGAGTATTTCCAGACCCTGTTTACCCGGAAAGACAGCGAGGCCCGGGGGGCCGTCCAGCTGGATTTCTGCGAGCCGGATGCCTTCGAGAACGTGCTGAATTACGTCTACTCCTCTTCCCTCTTCGTGGAGAGGGATGGCTTGGCAGCCGTTCAGGAGCTGGGCTACAGTCTGGGGATCCCCTTCCTGACCAACATTCTGTCCAAGAAGCCCCATGTCTCCTACTCCGGCACCCGGAAAAGGGCTTCCTTCTGCGAGGAGGACGACAACGGGAGCCAGCAGAGAAGCGTCATTGTGTGCCAGAGCCGCGGTGATAAACCCGGCCCCAGCGCCTCCCAAGACAAGGGGCCGAATCCGGCATCGCAGGCCGCGTCCAATCCCTTCCCTCCTGTCAAGCCTAAAGAGGTTTCATCGGGTCAGCCTGCCAGGGAGTCCAGTCAGCCGTGGTCAAAAGACCGTGGCAGTTCCGTGACCTGCGAGAAGCCAAGCGACACCTCGAGGAACACGCCATCCACTCTCAGGAAATCCACAGACGCAGCTGAAGGCCCCGACCGCAGGCCCAGCCGGTCCGGCACCCTCGTTCGGGGAAGGTCGCCGACGAGACCCCAGCTGACCGCTTCTCTTTCTTTCAACGATTCGTGCTTGCAGCAGGGCGGGGAGGCGGGCGGGGACGTCGCTCAGGGGCAGGACCGGGCTCCCACGTGTCTTGCAAAGCAGGGACTCCGCGCGCTGCCAGGCAGGGCGGGACAAGAGAGGCAAGGGGTCGACCGAAGCGGCCCGCTGATTAAGAGCCTCCTGCGCAGGTCGTTGTCCATGGACAGCCCCGTGCCCGTCTGTTCCCCAGCGTTCGATCTGAAATCCGCGCACAGCCGAGAGGAAGCCGCTACGAAGCCGGGGGCCGAGACGGCCGCCGCGGCGGAGTCTGTAGAAGGCAAGCGTTTCAAAGACAAGTCCAACGTCGTCCCGCCGCTCAGTCTCCGTTCCGGGATCCTCAGCAGATACCGGGAAGCGGAGGTGGACAAGTCAGAGGTCCGTGTCAAAACGGAGCCCAGCAGCCCGCTCGCCGACCCGTCCGAGATCATCCGGGTCACCGTCGGAGACAACCTGCCGGTGAACTTCAGGGATTTCCACCCCCATGCAAATGACGAGGCACCCAGGGGATTTTCCAAGCATTCTGTCAAGAGGAAATCCCGGCTGGACAACAGAAGGAATCAGTTTAAAAAGTCCAGGTGCGTGGAGGATCGCGATTTTGGATCGGAGCTCAGCCGCCGCGGTGGCGCGACGCCCCACAATTCAGACACCGACGAGGACGCGGTACCCGCAGAGTCGAGGCAGAACAGAATGTTTAAGTGCTGGAGCTGTCTGAAGATATTTCGCTCCAACACCGGCCTCTACCGCCACGTGAACATGTATCACAACCCCGAGAAGCCCTACTCCTGCGACATTTGCCACAAGCGGTTCCACACGAACTTCAAGGTCTGGACCCACTGCCAGACTCAGCACGGGGTGGTGAAGAACCCGGCTCCCGTTTCCAGCTCCTACTCGGTGCTGGACGAGAAGTTCCAGAGGAAGCTGATCGACATCGTGCGGGAAAGGGAGATAAAGAAAGCCCTGATGGTGAAGCTCAGGCGAAATAAGCCGGGGCTCGGAGGTCTGCAGTCCCAGGCGTTCGGCAAGAGGAGCCTCCGGGCCCGGTCCAAGAGCTACGCGTGTGGCTACTGCGGCAAGGTGTTCTGGTTCCAGTCGCAGTACAAGCAGCACTTCAAGACGCACGCTGGGGCGAAACCCGACGCCGAAGGCAGGGAGGGCTTCTCCAGAAAGCAGGACGAGGGGGCTGGCCTGAAGGAGAGCCAAGGCAGGGAGTCGTTCCCCTGCAGGCTCTGCAGCGAGAAGCTCCCCTCCCCGGCGGAACAGGGGGAGCACGAGCGGGAGTGCAGGCACGCCACGGTGTGCTCCTACTGCAGCCTGCGGTTCTCCACGCTGGCGCTCAAGAAGGAGCACGAAGATCACTGCGAGTACAAGAAGCTCACCTGCCTGGAGTGCATGCGCACCTTCAAGTCTTCCTTCAGCATATGGCGGCACCAGGTGGAGGTGCACAACCAGAACACGATGACCATCAAGGAGCAGCTGTCCCTCAGCCTGCAGGAGCACAACGGGGAGGCGCCCGATCCGCTGAGACCCTCAGCCCCGGGGTCCGAACCCAAGAGCGCCGGGAGCTCCAAGGAGGAGGCGGTCTTCAGCGACTCCTCCGAGCCCCCGCAGTTCGACTCGGAGGACTCCTCCTTCCTGCCGGAGGACCTGAGCGTCCCCCAGCGCCTGGAAGAGGTCCGGGTGAAGGAGGAGCCGCCCGAGGAGGCCGCGGTGGACGAGGCGCCCCGCCCCCCCGCCGAGGCCGGCCCCGAGGAGTCCTGCGCGTGGCCCTGCGAGAAGTGCGGCAAGCTCTTCACCGCGCGCAAGCAGCTGGAGCGCCACCAGGAGCTGCTGTGCCACGTCAAGCCCTTCATCTGCCACATCTGCAACAAGGCCTTCCGGACAAACTTCCGCCTCTGGAGCCACTTCCAGTCCCACGTGTCTGCCTCGGAGGAGCCGGGAGCC